TAGAACTTGTTCACCCGAGTTTTTGGAAGGAAAAATTGCCGAAATCCAAGACCTGGCTCAACGGGAAATAATTTGTTTAGATAAAGCGTGGGACGAAGGAATAATCACTTTCGCGGAGCGAGCAAATATTTTTCATCATCGAGATTTACTTCCGAAAGATTTGAAAAGTTGCGAAGAATTATTAAAAGCTATCCAAACTCTCCTCGGTCAAACTAAGGATACTTACGAAGGAATTAGTTCCGAAACCAAAACCAAAATTGATAAGGCTCTAGCCAACTCGAATAATTTTAGAGGAATAATTCCGGAAACCTTCCGAACCAATGCCGATTGGATAAATAGGTATTTGAAATACCATAACCTTGATAATTTAGCCCACGATGACCTAACCGAGGCTCGCGAGTTTTACAAAGCATTAAAAAAAGTAGAAACCAAACTACCCGCCACGAAAAAAGAAGTAGGGAAAATTTTTGAAAATATTCACGGTTCGGAGTGAGCAAAAATATTAACCGAAAAACGCCATAAAGTTAAAATGGCGTTAAAATTGTTAGAATGAAAAGCGGCCGGGTATTTTGAAGACGAATTGACCGAGGAAACTAAAACCGAAGTTAAAACGGAGATTAAAGCCTGATGAGAAAACCGCAACCTCACCTATGTCGGCGAGATTGTCAGTTGAGCCGCGAACAAAGCAGGAGTAGCGATGAATAAAATTAAAGCCTGACGAAAAGAAGCCGGATTAACTCCGAGCCTAGTTGAATTAGAAAATATGGCTCAGGAACCAGACCTCGACTACTCCCAAGCCCAAACAATTTCAGGGGAGTTAACCGAAAATTATGCCGACCTAATTGCCGGAAAGCCGCAGTGGGTTGCCTTTAGAAAAAAATATTACCAATTAGAATTGGACTGACTATTTGACCAAGCCAACCAAGCGGGAAAAAGGGTTGAATACTACACCGACCTCCAAGCCAAAATAGAAAAGTTTCGCCAAGACTTTATAAATAAAGTGGCTGGTCTCCCCGCCGAAGTTTGAAGTGAAAAAAATACTGGCTATGCGGAGGCGGCAGCCAATGGCGAAGGTGGCACGGAAGGAGAATTAGACCAAAAATTACGGGAATTGAACCTGAAAATAATCCCCTTTAACGAGTGAGAAACGGCGGCCAATGACGGCTTACCAGGTTTAGAAACGGACGCCGG